CCTCGTCCCGGTTACCTCTGATGACTCCGACGATGAATGCCTCGACGACGATCCCATCCCTCGTCCTCAGGCCCCTCTCGTTCCCGTCCCCAACAGCGACGAGGAGATGCCCGTCCCCCGCCCTCAAACCCCACTCGTCCCTGTTACCAGCGACGATTCCGACGATGAGTGCATGGATGATGATCCCATCCCTCGTCCTCAGACCCCTCTCGTTCCCGTCCCCAACAGCGACGGTGAAGGCGACTCCAAGCCCGCTCCCCGCCCTCCTACTCCCCACCCCAACGGCGACGATGAGGACATGCCCGTTCCTCGCCCTCAGACTCCCCTCGTTCCGGTTCCTAACTCGAATGAGGTGGACCCCATTCCTTGTCCCCAGACGCCCATGGTCCCGAAGCCAAATGCCGATACGGTCAAGCCGGTTGCTTGCTGCTAAGTGGTAGCTTAGGCCTGGAGGTTTGGAAGGTTGGAAGATGGAGGGATTTCAGGAGGAAGCGAGATCTAGGAGGAAAAAACGAAGGAATTGATATGAACGGAATGATTGGTTCGCTTGAACATGATGATGGGATACTAATGGAAGCATGATGGAGTGTAATGACAAATATTGATGGATTTGCGATGCATTTCAATCAGTGTCGTTTGATCGGTAGCCGGATTTCAGTAGTCAGACAGTATAGAAACGCGCGCGCGAGTCGCAAGAAAACGAAAAGCACTGGTTTCTCTCAACTTCGGTCGCGACGTAATAAGATGTTTCCGATTGCGCTCGAAGCGACGATGAATTGAAGCGCGTGTGACCTTGCGATTCGCGTGGTGACGGATTGATAACTCTTAAATGGTGACTTGTTGGTGTGGAAGAAAGTGGAAGGAAGTGAGCGATTGTTGATGAAATGGGAAATGAAACAAGAGAGAAAGGGAAGGAGGAGAACATGAAAACGGACGTTGCAGTGCAGTCAAATCGCAGTTCGGTAGGAGCGGCCTGTGCGCTGCACCTCGGTGAACCCAGCTCTTTTAATGATGCCGATGAGGTGAAAGATGAATTCATCTTCTTTAACCTGCAAGGAAGAGTGATTCAAGTATGCAAAAGGGAAAGCTATGCAGAACCAAAATCAGGACTGCTTTCAATGTCGTAAAAACAGGTAAGCGATAGTGCAAAGAACAAAACCACAAAAAGACAAAAAGAACATGTCCCCTCGACCGGAATCGAGCCGGTGACCTTTCGGTATACAATCTAGACAATTACAGCCGAACGTGATAGCCAACTACACCACAAGGGGATTTTGATTTGTTGTTGAAGTGGGGCAGAGAACATACTACCTAAGTACTGCTACCACATTACACTACTGATGCCAGAGGGTCTGGACCCGGGGGGTTGAGCTTCATGGCCCTTTGAATTAGTGTAACAAAGCCATCGAATTTCGAAATGATCATCAGGTATATGAGCATGCTGAACCTTTCAAGTTTACCTGGAACTGTGGAAATAGTCGAAGAATAAGGAAGATCGATAAATGCGCACCAAACGTCAAATTCTACAGGAACAACTTCACCCGACATTTCAAAGACTTTTTTTTTTTTCCTTTCTCAAGCGTCACCAGACAACTTCCCTTTCGGCGCTTTCGCACTTCATAGGTATTTCCAAACCCCAAGCATGTGCCGACTCCCGACATCCGCAACCGCCCACCTCCCGTAGCACAGTTTGACAAGGCAGACACGACCGGCACCGGTCCTCCTACCGAGACATTCTTTGCCAGAGAACGAACCCATTCTCCTACCAGCAGTTAAGTAGTCCCAGGCTCCCTGCCCGTAACAGCATGTCTCACATGCACCTATACATGCCTCAGTCTTGCGGGTCTCGCGGATATGCACCATAGACATCCAGATTTCTTGTCAATTCTCAACTCTCAACGACCAATAGCGGGCAAACTGGGAGAACGGGAGAATCCCAACTAGTACACTACACTGTGCAGATAGGTACTGCGTCAATCACCACTTTTATCAACCTGTTAACCTCAGCCCTCTTCTCAAGCTCACCTATATACTAGGTACAAACCAGACACGAATTGGTTCTCTCCAATAGCCGATTTCCACAACCCACTTAGACCGTCTTGGCCATTCAACGGTCAGTGTTATGCATTGAAGATGTCTCGGTCATTGTGGGAGGGGTGTTCCGGGCTTTGATAGGGAACAAGGGTTCCGAGGAGTGTCTTGGGAGTTTTTCTGAGGAAGAAGGCTGAGAGAATGATAGATCTCATTTATCCCATGTATCACACCATTCACAGTTTCACACCATTCACACCATTGACATTCGCCTGCCATTCGACACCCCGACCCTCGAATCGAAAGCCCGATGACTTGCCTGACCTGCCTGAATTGTTCAAGCCCTCAAGCTCTCAAGCTCCCAAAACCCTTCCCCTCTAGACCCTCTTGAGTCTTGAGTCGCCGAAACGCCGACCGACCGACAGCCTCACCCAAATTGCCCGAACCGGAGCATGGTCCGCGGTCGGTAACTTTGGTGGCGCTTTTCACGATAGCTGACGAGCTGACTTCTTCAGATCGGCGACGAGTACATAGGACGCGGGGAAGACCTGGCTGGTCTGAGAGAGATGAATGGATGATGGATGGGTAGAAATGGCCACGGGATCATTTCCGGTCTAGACTCTAGACTAAGGAGGGGATGGGATTGGGAATTCTGACTGGGACTCCTTATCCAGTGGACGACTGGACGCCAACTGAAGGGCGACGGGAAGCGGGGGCGCACCGAACTGAAGGGGGCCTCGAATTGAATCCAAGACTGCCACAACCCCATGCAACTCTCACGAGCCGTGCATGTTGGAGTTTTGCGATTTGTGAGGACCAGCCTGTGATGATTGGTGGATGGCATGGGATGGGCAAACCCAAATGTCGAAATCTGCATGCTTCTACCACCGCCAGAAAGAGGGACTGAGGGAGGGAAGAGGTCGAGATCGACAGAAACAACAGCCCGCTCGGAAAAGCTCCATTCCCAGCCACTGGTTTTATTGCAGCCCTTCTTTTCCTATTCTCTAGCGAGTCTAGCTGTCAGTTAGCTTGTTTTCTTGGTGGCAGCGTAGTCCCTTGTAATGTAGTGTAGTGGTTCAGTGATTGGATTGGAGAGGCCACCAAAAGACCAAAGAACATTTCGGCCTGGGCCCTGGAGAAAAAAATATCTCTTGCAGCAATTGCAGGCAGTCCGGGCCCGGCAGAGCTACTTACTGCGGACGTCGTAAACCGCATCGCATGCTTTGGTGAATTGTGGCTGGTCGGCTTCTCAGCCGGAAAATATGGAGCCCAAAGAGGCCCTGTTGGCCTGTTGCGACTATTGCGACTTAGGCTCTCGTGGCACCAATGCCAGCAGAGGATCATCCTCGACCGCATGTCGTTGAGGGTCGCAACCATCACGGCTTTCGGGGCAAAGACGCCGTCCAAGAGGCCAGTTTCGTTACTGACGGTCTCAGCCCGAACCGCAGAGGGCCTCTTGAATCTTGATAAACCCAATGATCGCCACTGGGGTCCGCCATCCCAAGGTTGCAGCCAGTGGAAGGGCATCCATCCTCGAGATTCTGTTGGATCATGAAGCTTTTTCATGGGTATCACCGCATTTTCCAGCATTCCCTGTCTTTGGAGCTGAGGGACCGGGGTTGCTTTTGGCGCCAAGTCCAATGATTAACCCTTATCGGGAACGGAATAGCCGCATGTGGGGGCTGGTTCTCCTTTCTAGACTCGAGAGACCGGATGGGCTTTAAAACTCCAGAGCCCTCTCTCGGGGGGCAAGCCCAAGCTGGGCTCTCGCCCTTGGGAAGTTCTGTGCATATCCCTTCCTTCGAGGCATCATCACCGGAGTTTTTCGAGGTTATAAGCCTCGCTCATCCATCGACATCCAAGCTCCAGCTGCCGTCCCAGGATCAGGATTCCTGATCAGCGGTGAACATGGGCGCCTATACTTCAGTACAGCAGTGCCTTGAGCACTATGGAGTCACGATAAACTGTTCTGTAGTTTACGCACCCGACAACCAGACCGTTTTATCCGTGGGAGGAAACAGACCCGGAGAGTTTAACCCAGATCCAGATATTGCGGGTATCGGTGTAAGGTTCCCCAGAGTCGATGGACCCTTTCCCCGTACAACTTGTATGTGGACACCAGCTTACACATACCCGTGTCTTTAGATCCTCGGAGCCTTCGTCGTAATAACGGGGTTCTCGTTACTAATAGCCTTCTTGCATGTCTTGTGGCACTATGCCAAGCTGATGAAGCTTAAAAAGAGACTAACAGACGAGTAAGCCATACCTCGGCGAACGAAGCGCTTTGCAGCTGGTGAGGTCGCTAACCACTTGCTCAACAGAGAAAAGGAAAACAAAAGATGGCAGCTGAGCATTGGTGGCTTCTTTGAGATGCTCATCATCTCGTGTAGTGATCAGCAGATTTTCACCGGTGCGGCATACGCCATCACGATGCGCTTCGCCAAAGCATGCTCCATCTCGGCTTACCACTACAACGTTATCTCGAATATGCTGTTACTCACCTGCGCCACACACTTGCTGACCCTTCTTGTGTCAAAGCACTACTGGGAGCATCCCTGGGTAGCTGGAATCCGGACGGTAGCGACGGCGCTGTTGTATCTTGCGACGGGTATTCTTCTTTCCACCCAGGCCGCCCCGGGGTCTGAGCTCGCCTTTCCGACCCAGGTTCCTAAAGACGACGACAAATGGAGCACCCTCCTTCTACCAGCCGCCTGCTTCCAAGGGAGCGCTGCGCAGTTTGGGAATACCTTGCAACAGTCCTTCCAAGGAGCCGGACTGTTCAAGGTGGGCGACCGTATCACCGGATGGACTCCATTCGTCATTCTTGTCCTATACTACGTCCTTGCCAACATCGTTACGCTTGGTAGGGTCGTTCGTGCAGGACGGGAGAATGGCGGAAGGCGGGAAAAGTTTTGCAAGTGGTTTGTGGACGTGGTAGGGACGAAGAAGCTGAAGTGGGTGAACCGTATTGGTGGACAGGTCTATGGCGTGTATCTCTTGGCTGGCCTGGCAATTTCGGGATACACGATGGCTTCGTCGTCCGAGTACATTGCGATGCTTCGGCGTTGGGTTGACCGGTCAGGATGGATTCAACTCTTTGATGGCACCAACTCGGAGAACGACCCCAAGTCCTTCGGTCAGCTTGTTCCTCTTCTGATGATGACACTCACCGTGTTTACCTTTTTGCAGATGTTGAGTGGTAAGTGGTCTTGTGTCTGTTCTTCGGTTTGCTCATCAGCTAATATCTTTTCCAGAGGCCATAACGATCAGGAAGTTGAAGAATAATCAGCGCGAAGAACTTCAAGACGTGCGGCAGGAGTTCGAAGACCAACTGGAAGAGGCAAGAGCGAGCTCGATCAAAGTCCAAGAAAGTGGCCTAGGCAACGGAAAGCGACCTGAGGTACACGAGAAGGAAGCGTTTAGCAGGCAATTCGAAGCAAGCGGAAGCCAGGCTTATGGGATGAACGCCCAAACGCCATTGTCGCCGGCTCCGATGTACACCATGTTCGCCAACCCATCTTCCTCGAGCGGCGCTCCGTTCTTTGTCTACGCCGCACCACCTGGGTCGCCGATGGCAACACCCGATTGGGCATCCGTGACACCGCAGCAAGGGACGCCGATGCACTTTGTTATCCCGGCGCAGTTTGTAGCTGGAGCGTTTCCGATGACCAGCCCTGGAAACGGAAGTGCGCCCCCATCTCAAGGGTTCCCTTGGAATCCTTTCAGTCCTGGTCCTGCTCCGACATGGAATGCGCCTGGGCCGAGCAAGCCTTCACCATCCGATGATCCGTCGTCTCAGCCGGAGCCGTCAACGAAGGCAGAACCCGAAATCACCACCAAGGATACCAAGCCAACACCGGTTGTTTCCGTGTATGATGTGAACACCACACCGTCTCCGCCATCGAGATCCTCGACAGTTCCCACTTCAAAGTCGGACCCCTCCGATAATGAGGGGCTGACGCCTCATCCAGCAAACCTTCGAAGGGCTGATACCGATTTGACGCTGATAGGGCAACCGAGCTCGAATTTGGATGCTGGGGGCCAGACAGGTCGGCAAACGTCGGGACAAGGCTTCGAGGGTGTTGCTGCGGATCCCAACACGCTAAGTTACTTTCCGGCAGTTGCGATCGCTGAGGCAAGCGTAGAGGAAGAGGGGCAGGAAGCAGAGAGAAGGACTGGCGAGGGTGATAACGCGGGAGGGACTGGATTTGAGGTTGGCAAGGCGATGTAGGGTGTCAATAAACAGCGAGGCTGAAAGGACATTGTGGAACCAAGGCCACTGGATAAGGGAATGAAACATGCATGGAAAGGTCTTGGACACGATCTCGTTGGAGTTCTGGGATTTGGCTTTTTGGGGGGAATGTGTTACGATACCACGGATTAATGACAGGAGTCTGGCCATTTAGCGCATCGGGACGCGGGTCTGACTGGTGGTCGGTCGAGGATTGGAATTTGGCTGGCATGACGTCGAGTGATGAAATTGAAGAGGAGCAAGGCTCCGATGCGATGGAGAGGTTTGAAACTTTGCTTGTCCCCCACCAGAGAGGGCAAGAGCGTGGGAGATTGGGGGACACAAGAGGAAGTGGGAGTCGGTGGGAGGCAAGTGGGGGCTATGTGTGGGGGAGGGGAAAGCGGGGAAATGCCCTTGCCTCACATACAAGTACCTAGAAATTGGGGTTCGGGACGGGAATCTCTGGGGAACAGGCCTTGACCCCGCCTGCCCCAGCTCTGGGATCATCACCAAATGGAAGAATCTCCACCCCACCTTGGCCTTGACTTGTAGACCCCCGCCGAGAGCGCTCCCGTAGTCCCGTTCATCTCGTCCCCCGTTCCTTCCCACTGACCAACTCCAGACGACGGCTCATCAACATCTCCTCATCCCATAAAAGACGAGCCGAATGAGGTCAACTCCCACCCGCTTCCTTTCCTACATCAACTCGCATCTTTCTGCAGCAGCATCACTCGCATCCTCCTCCAAGATGAAGCTCCTCTACCCCACCTCTCTCAAGCTCGACGTTTCCCAGATCGAGGGTTTCCCCTCCGTCACCCTCCACCCCTACGACGTCAAGGCTCCCATTCCCGAGGAGCACGTTGACGCCGAGGTCCTCGTCACCTGGACCAACTCCTCCGACAACCTTAAAGATGCTGTGAACCGTTTGACCAAGCTGCGCTGGATCCAGTCCCTCGCCGCCGGCCCCAATGACGTCCTCAGCGCCGGCTTCGACACCTCCAAGGTCGCCGTCACCACCGGCTCCGGTCTCCACGACCGCACCGTCGCCGAGCACACCCTCGGTCTTCTCCTCAATTCCGCCCGCAGGTTCTACGAGATGCGGGATTATCAGCTCCAGGGCAAGTGGCCCGGCCACCTCGGCGGCCCTCAGCCCGATCGCCCCTCCGACAGATTCACCACCCTCCGTGACGCCCGTGTGCTGATCTGGGGTTTCGGAAACATCGCCAAGACCCTCACTCCCTCTCTTGTGCAACTTGGATCCCAGGTTCGCGGAGTTGCTCGCCGCCAGGGTGTCCGCGATGGCATTGAGGTCTACTCGGAAGACAAGCTTGCCGAGCTTCTACCAGAGACCGACGCTCTCGTCATGATCCTCCCCGGTGACCCATCCACAAAGCATGCTCTCAACGCCGAGAGGCTGAAGCTCCTCCCCAAGCACGCCTGGGTCGTCAACGTCGGACGTGGCACCTCCGTCGACGAGGATGCCCTCTACGATGCTCTTGTGGAGGAGAGGATCGGCGGTGCCGCTCTTGATGTGTTTGAGACAGAGCCTCTTCCTGAGCCAAGCAAGCTCTGGAAGGCACCTAACCTCATTCTCAGCCCACATGCGGCTGGTGGCAGGCCACAGGGTGCCGAGCAGTTGATCGTCGAGAACTTGAGAAGGTTCTTGGCTGGTCAGCAATTGAAGAACCTCATTTAAGCGTTTTATTGTTTGTTTCTGGGAATTGAAAAGGCAGTAGCATTTGTGGTGCAAAAGCGATCTGTCAAATGGTTGAAAACAATATACCATGATTAGACCATCAGAATCATTTACCATGCATATGTTTTGCTTCCTCAGGTCGTTGTTATCGCACTCCCAAACACCCTTTTTCAAAACTTCTTGTGTGCACGCGCTTCGCGTCAAGTTGTCTCCGACAGCCCTATTTTTTCCCGGCTTGCAGTTCAGCAAATTGGCAAAGAAGGCTTACCAGAAAGTTACAGGCTCTAGACACTCGCACTCGCCCGCCGGATCGCATTCATGCGCGCAAAGCCTGATGAAAATTCCCGACGATTGGACAGCTCAGGAAGACACTGGACTCGAAGTGGCTATCCACTTTTGGCTGCTGAAGCACCATCTCCGATGCCCTGAAAAGGGCTTTCATGAGGCTCGGTGCGACTTTGTCATCATGACTTGGACTGCGCCTTTACCAGTCGTTGCTCCTGGCTCGTTGACCGGGTCTTGTGTATGGTCCGCAAGCACTCCTGCTCTTCTCGCCAGATTCTTATTGGATTTGCTCTTTGGCTGCCTCCTTTTAGCCTGCTGTATTAGTGGCACACTCTTAATGGGTCGGTGCTGTCATTCACGGCAATGTCTCTCCCATTCGTGGGAGGAGAGCGGTGCGTTTGCGCACATGTCTTTGGGTTGCATGCGCGATGAGTTGTTTTGCTCTTCACATGGGCCACTTGTCGTGAATTTGTCTTTTTGTCTTTTCCAGTGCCAGTGGTGCTATCCGTCTGCGTCGTTTGGTAAGGCGATGATTTGCCTCAGGCTGACGATTGTGTCCCGGGTGCATACTTGGCATGGATTTCTTCTACGATGCCCGTACACGTGTCAGACTTTTGTGTTCAGGTTAGAACGGATTTACAGCTTGGTTGGACATACTAGGAGCTGACACGTGCTTATACAGGATTGATGGTTGAGGCCGTGAAGAGGTACTTGGCTTAAACTAATATGTGAGTTAAACGTGGCTCTTCAGGTGGGAAGGACTTGCTTTTGCGATAACTTTCACATAAGAGCTCATCGAAACATGGCCTCAAAAGCAGTCCAAGCGTTCACTCTTTTGTAGGCAAGTGATCATCTCAATCTCATCGAGGCATAGGCGACGCAGTATCACGGTGTTCTTTCTTCGGACCCTTTTAGCGCTGGGCTCCAAAGCCACATTCTCAATATTTCCCCGCCACATCTCGAAGGCACACGTTCTCTACGACTCTGACCGAACCTACATTGTTTCCTCCGACCAAGATCTAGTTGACCGGTCGGCACTGGCCACTTCTTCCACCGGTATTCCTAAAAACGAAACCCTCTCTACGGCATTCCAATATCCATAACGCACTTGGTCCCCGGCCATGAACGACACAGCGACACACGGCCATCCCATGGCTATGTCAACAGTAATGACAGGCTTTATGCCAGGCCCACATTGTGGCCGAGGGACTATGGAAATTATCTGGATCTGCCTCTCCACGACGACCCTTGCCATTTGGGTTTCACTCCACCTATATGTCGATTCGCCGGAGGCTTCCAAACTGTCTTTGCGTGCAGGGCTTGAGAAGTTCCGGAACGGAAACACGCTCGACATGTTTGATCCATCAACAGATTGGCCTCTACAATGGCGGAAGCCATTTGAAGCCGTATTTACGATCTGGTTTCCCGAGAATTCCGTCACGGCCTCCATTGTTGATCTTTTCTGGGCTATTCGGTGGAAGCGACGCATTTCAGCCATCCCAGAGTTTGGGAAGTTCAGCCTCCGACAATCGTTCATCCTCGGCCAGGCTGGGATATACTACAAGGCTGGAGCTGACAGGCGTCACTTCGAAATTCTTAGTCCCTGGGAACTTGAAAAATTTGCGCGGAATGGCCAGCTTGTGTTCGAAGATCTTCCTTCAAATGAAGAGCTTGATGATCGCAGCAAAAGCGATCGCCTTCTTAAGTCAATTTCGGTTTTCCAGACCTTGTGGTTCTTTGCCAACATCATATACCGCCTTTATACCGGTCTTCCAATTTCGTTACTCGAAGACCTGGCCGCAGCGTACGCATTCTGTGGTCTTGTCCAGCTTCTCGGATGGTTTCGATGCCCGCAAGATATATCACAGCCCTTCTTTGTCGAATTGAAGAACCCGCCTGACAACTATGCGTCCTCTTCTGATGATTCTAGCACAAACGGGCGAAGAGATATTTGGTGGGATGTTAGAATTGCCAAGTGGCCATTGGTGGAGTGCGTTGTATTTACACTTAGTGCGGCCGTGTTTGTTGGCGTTCATCTGGCTGCTTGGAACTACCGTTTTGCGTCTGTCGTAGAAAAGTGGCTGTGGCGTTCTTGTTCCCTGGCTACACTTCCTCTTTTATTTGTCGTTTTTATCTTCGGCAACTATGAATTCCAGTGGGACTGCGAAAGCTATTGGCGATATCGGGTATACAAGACCATCACAGTTATCTCGAGTTCTCTGTATTGCCTGGCACGGCTGGTTCTGATCTCGTTGGCATTTGCTGCTTTCAGAAAGGCCCCTGTGGGCATCTACCAAGACGCGAGTTGGACGGATTTAATACCGCATATCTGAAGGCTTCAGACCAAGAGGGGGGCTTTCCCATTTGCTAGGAAGCTGTTCTTTCATTGTCAACGATGGACAAGCAGTATAATCTTCCCACTCGAGGCTCGGGGGAAGGAGGGGTCAGTTCAATTACTCAGACAAATGGTAATTCCTGTCCAGCTGCTCTAGTCTCGGACAATATGAGGTTCAGGAAATTCACCTGACTGATTCACTTCTGCGATCCCTCCGGCGTCCGCAGCCCTATCAGACAGGTCTGCCAATGCAGCTTGCTCCCACCTCCTCGAATCTGCCTTCCTATTCCCTTGGGCCTTCCTCCGCAAGCCCATCAAGCTGCTGATCATGCAGCCTGAGCTGCTTGTCAAAACTGGAAATGGTTGCAGCCAAGTCCATTGCAATCTGGACCAGGCGATCCAGAACGAATGTTGCTTGGCCAGAATTTTGACATGGTATGGTTGAGTCCCTCCACTTCAAAGATTGGTTCTTTGCCTTTTCTATGGTCCCTTCTATGATGAGACCAGACACAAGATTTCTGGCGAGACTTCACAGCTGGGCTTTCCTACATAATATGGCTGTCCTCCTTAAAGACGGCAAGATCGAATCACTGCTGGGATGTGCACAGTTGTAGATCACACTTGAAGATGACTTCCTTATAAGTCTGGCTCATTGGTGGCCTTCCTCAAACGCGGCAAATACAACTGGGTGACAGCAATCATAGATATGCAAGAGCGAGACAACCTGCGGGCCTCTGTGGCAGTCGTTACCCACCACGATTTATTTGCTGTATCTGGTCCAAACTGCGGAGTTGTCTCCCTCTCCTGGATTCATTTTCCTGACAACCATCAATTCCAGTCGGCCAATTACACATGGTTCACCTTGCTTTGCTTTAGTGTCGCTCTCTTGGATTCAGTCACCTGTAAGCTGCTGGCAGGATGCCAATTCATTATCGAAAGATCCTCGCCTTTAAAAAAACGTCACCACTCCTCGTCAAATGGAGGCCACACCCAGTTCTCTGGCTTCATTGACAACGTCTTACCTACCTACCTCTACCCAAGCTCTTTACTTTTCAATTTCCAGATACCAGACCACTTCCTCTCTGTTTGTTCAGGGCATGCCTTGTTCAAAATGAACAGCACAGCAGCTGCACCAACAACTACAGGCTATGTGCCTGAACCTAACTATGGCCGAGGCACCCTACGCATCATCTGGAGTTACTGGACAACAGTATTTCTCTTCGTCTAGACCGCGTACCATCCACAAGTTACGAATCCCGCCGAATCTAAAGGAACATGGTCCAAACGCAAGTCTTAGGCGGCACGCACGTATTTCTACATGCCCGAAGTGGCGATGGCTAGCAGTCTGCAACAACCCTGCACGGCGTCACTCTTGAAGCGCGACATGTCTGTTCTTCCGGGGTTCAAGAATTTCAGCCTTCGACAAGCATTTCTACTTGTGATCGGAGGGGTGTACTATGAAGACCCTAGCTCAGGCCCTGATCCGTCAAGTCCACGTCCTGAGCCCTGGGTTTCACCCTCTGCAAGTTTTTACGACGACGCACAGTTAATAAATATTTTCTTCAATGTAAACCGCGAGAGCCAGAAGAGCACCAAGCAAAAGAACCCAGAAAAGGTGAAAGTCCCCAGAGTACAAACGTTTGGACGAGAGACGCTGCGCGAATTTGCAGCGACTCGCTAAATCAAGCAGGAGCAGTTTCCAGGGAATCCGGAAATAGATAACCGCAGCAAGAGCGATTGGGTTCTCCAATCAATCTCCATTTTCCAGACGCTCTGGTTTCTCGCAAATATCATCTTTCGTCTCACACTTGGTTACGAGATAACACTGCTTGAAGATGTCACTGCAGCATTCGCGTTCTTTGGCCTCATTCAACTTCTCCCCTGGATCCGGTGCCCCCAGGACATACGCAGACCATTTCTCATCACGTTACGGAGTGAATCAGAGCGACAGCAGGACTGTTACAGAATGGAGCTGCCTCGGGTTTCATTGTCCCAGACGTTACTGATTTCCTGGGGGTTACGATCTCAGCCACGCGATGTTGAGCTGGAAATCGCCGCTCTTCCGGGGTAAAGACCCTCGAAACACCATCACAACGTGGATTCTGAAAAAGAAGTTAGGCAACATGGCCATCTTCGGCTGGTTCACGTTGAACATTGGAACACTGGCATTTGTGGCTATACCTTTCTGAGCTTGGAAATATTTCTTTGAAAGTGTGACAGAGAAGTGGCTTTGGTGGTTGTCTTTTATAGTGTCATTTGGCTTTATATTCTTGATGCTGCCTCTAATCCCTTACTTGAACCGGAAATCCACAAGAACGACGGACTCCAACGCCCCAAAGGCCGTCCATACGGAGTTCGATGAAGAGGAGATAGTCAAAGAACTCTCAGAAAACATGGAAGCACTGGCCTTGATCGTCACGTTATGCTACCTCTATTCGCGTGTCATTTTAATAGTGTTAGCTTGCATAGCATTCGGAGAGGCACCGGTGGGCATCTACAAAGAAGGAAGCTGGACGACTTTCCTACCACATCTTTGATATCGAGAGAAGCGAAGGAAATTGCGGCGAGAGTTGAAGGCGAGAAGGTCATGAGAGGTTGACTAGGCTTTTGATATGGGAGTACCTACCCGTACCCTATAATTTCCTCTACGTGCCCTGCGAATTTTGAAATATTTCATTTTTGCCGTCCACCATAACTCTATACAGCCCAGAATATTGTAACCCAAGACAACAACGCATGACAGTTGGATAATGGTCTTCTAGATTAGCTTCAAAGGATGGTATTTGAGAGCTTTGCGCGAAGAAATTTAGGTATCAAATGATGTTGAATAGCTCAATATCCTCAGAAATACCCCCACTCGAAAGCTGTGGCCTAGGCTAAGCGAAGAATTCTGTAAATTCAGTAAGATAGGGTACGTGTAGGAATGCGTTGGGTGCGAGCAGGTTTTCCCTTTCTTATTGCGACATCTCAATGCCTGGTTTCCTCAAAATCGATTTAGGGTTATGTGTGATGGTTGATGTGTTTCCAAATTGAGTTGTTGATCGTGGCACTTGCCGACGTCCTGAAGGTCCTTGTCGGCGTGAATTGAGCACGTCAATTTCCTCATTACTGGAGACCCTGCTGATGTCAAATGTTGAACAGACGTGCTTGAAAGTCGGCAGTTAATAGTTTGTTTTACTGGATAGCTTTCACCGATTCTCATACATGAGGTCATGAGGACGCTGAGATGTTGAAGTGGGGACATGGATCGGGGATGCCAATATGCGGGTGCTACAGGGCAGGGGATGGTTCGACGTTCTTGTACCTATCGTAGCGTATTACTAATGCCAACCGCCTAAAACCCAGGACATTAACTCAAATGGGAGGAGACATCCTGAGGAGTGGAAAAGGTATTCCAGAATGTTTGCGACTGGTGTTTGGCAGTCGCGATGGTTTCTTGGAAGTTGGGCCCAAGTGGACATTCCCGGCATCAAGTACCGGGGCCCTGAGCCAACGTGTTTGTTAGGCGGGGAACTTTGGTAGGGGACTTTGTGATGACCTCCACAACTCATACAAGAGCACTCCAAACGCCCATTCTTTCGTTTCTTCTTTCTCTTAACTTATACATCTATCGCAAAACCCTCCTCCCGCTTTGTTCCATCAGAAAAAAAAAAAAAGGAGCCGAAGAAAAAACAATGTTACAACCTTATACCCAAGACCAGCTGGATCGCTATTTCCGGCATATCGGATATTCGCCGAAGGATGCCGAAGACGACCTCGGCAGGCTCGCCACGCTGCAGCTACACCACATGGCCCGCGTTCCATTCGAGAGTTTGACTCTGCATTATTCGAAACACCACCGATTGTCACTGGACCTGGAGGACCTCTATGAAAAGATCGTCGACAGGGGGAGGGGAGGGTACTGCATGGAGGTCAATGCGTTCTTCGGGGCTGTCCTCCGCAGTCTTGGTTACACACTCATTAACGTAGGAGGGAGAGTGAAGGCAGGCGATGGGGAGTACAAAGGATGGTTTGTGGTTACCGAAATCTGTAGGAAAAGCATCATGCACTAACGAACTAAATCCCAGGAATCACATGGTCAACATCGTGACCATCAACAACACCCGATATCTAGTTGACGTAGGATTCGGTTCCAACGGTTCAGTTCACCCAGTTCCCCTGGAGCACAACCGCATCTTTACCACAGTTTCTCCCGTTCGGGGGAAACTCGAATACAAAAGCCTTTCGCAACACACAGACCAAGCCAGCCAAAGGATATGGGTCTACTCAACGCAGGAAAACCAGTCCGCGCCCTGGAAGGAAATGTACTGTTTTGCCGCCGACATGGAGTTCTTCCCCACTGATTTCGAAGTCATGAACCTGTCGACCATGACCAGCCCGCAAAGCTTCTTTGTACAGACCGTCATGTGCATGTGGCTTTTGCTCAACGACGACAGCCACAATGACAGCGACGACGAGGACGACAAAAAGGAACGGCAGCCTGGACCTGGACCTATAGGCGTGCTAATCTTGCACAAGGACTATGTCAAGAGGAGGATAGGCGGCAAGTCTGAGATCATCGAGCACTTTGAGTCAGAAGAGCAGAGAGTCGAGGCTTTGGAGAGGTATTTCGGCATTGTGCTTACGAGAAAAGAAAGGGAGGCAATTCGTGGCTTGCCAAGCGAGTTAAAGACGAGGTGTGGGCATTGTTAAGTGGTGATTTCCTGGGGTAGAGGGTTACACAGGAGGTTGGAGTTAGAGGAGAGCAAGGCTTGCCGTCGTCTTTTCGAGACTTGAAGACAATGTTGCAAAAGTTTGGTACCCAATCATCTAGGGAACCAGCCAACTCTGGACATCTGCCGGATATGCGATGTGCTTCTCACATCCATCACCCCCACACCACACCCACCATCAAGTCGCCTGGACAGGACGGGATCAGACAAGCGAGCTGTATATGCAAAGACGCGGATGCCGAAAGGATGGCACGCAACCTCAAATCCGCGAAATCCTACGAGATTGGCGAGAGTTTCCCCCGCATTTCTTTTTTCTTCCAAGCCACTCGACTTTACAGTCGACTTCCTGAACCTGTTTTTCCTCGGATTTACCACACCATCTTCGGGCTTCGGGAAAAAGCGATAGCAAGACATTCTTCTTTCGGTGCATCTTCGCCAGAAGGCGTTCCAGGACAGGTATACCGACACCCTCCTTTGGCCCTTACGACTGGTTGGAGCACATCTCATTGGTGAGGGGGGAATAGAGGATAGACATGGAACCCTTATGAAGTACACCATATCATCCCGTCTTCTCACCCAATACGCCAAGATGAGAGAAGCCTTCATGATAGTTTCTGTGACAAACGAGGTTTACACACCATGATGACAATCATCTTCAGCTTATCTCGGTCCATTGAGAGCTTCACATCATTCAGAAAACTTTTCCCTCTAACCGTCTTCTCACCTCGCACACCCAAGAACACGGACCACGGGCCACGCGACTCAAGCTCTTGTTGTCCTTGCAGTTACCGATCGACTGGTTTCTGGATCCCTTCACTGTTTTGTTTGCTGTTGTCTTGAATTGTTGCACATGCATTGCTTCCGAGTTCCGACCTCACATCCTGTACAGTGTAGTTAGTGTATACCAAATAGAAGGCAATCTGATATCATAGGTAGTCTTTCTCGATATATGTACGCTAACTTTGGCAGTAATCAATACGCTCAACACAATAATCATCACTCATTCCATCATTCTCATGAAACATTCTCATCGCAGTGATTCACCTCACCTCAAAACTCGTCATGTTGCACTCCCTCCATCTTCAACATACCTTAACCTACCCTTCCCCCTAAATCAAAGCCAGCGCCCCAGCAACACCAACAACCCCTGCCCACAACCAAGCCCCCCTCGTCCCAAGAAGCCTGCCCGCAGCATTCTCATCCTCGCCCGTCGCGCTCGGCGAGCTTTCTGGACCATCCGTTCCCGTAACAATCGTCCCATTCTCCGTACTGCTCGCCGTCTTCAGCAAAACATAGATCTCGCCCGTGGAATCACTCGTCATCCACAGTCTCTCCTCCGAATCAAACGCCAACCCGACCGGTCTGAAGCACTTATCCGGGCACACCGAATTATCTTTGTTTACAATGATATCCTTTAGGGCGTCGCGGCCGTTTTCAGCTGACACAGTAGGTTCGCCGGTGGCGGGGTCGAACTGGATAGAAGAGAGGCGGTAGCCGACGGGGTTCTTCTTGTCGAAGGAGCCGCGGAACGTGACGTAGGCGACGTCGCCTTTTTGGGGGGAGAACTTGATGTCGATGGGCGCGTAGTGGGCCGGGAAAGTCAGGCGGGGCGCGACGTAATCGGAGGCGCAGGTTTCGTCTGTCAGCTTGTTGCCGGAGACGGTCTGGGCGTTTTCCTCCTCGGTGATGGCGAACTGCGAGCCGATCTTGAGGTTGTCGTTCTCGGGGATTTCAGAGACATCCCAGACGGCGAAGCACTTGGGGTAGCCGTAGTTGCGGCCCTGTCCGTTGGTGGTGCCGTTGAGGTAGCCAAAGAAGTTGAGCTCCTCGCCCGGGTTGTTCTCGTGGATATCCTTGCCGTTGCGGGTGACGCCGTCGATGGAGTTCTCCACGGCGTAGATGCCGCCCGTGACGGGGTGCTCGCCGACGCCCACCGAGTTGCGCAGGCCCCAGCCGAGCACGATGCCGTCTTCGTTGTAGTTGTAGGCCTTTGTGGAGCTGGTCAGGTTTGAGATGTCGAAGGCGCGGATCTGGGACAGGCCATTGTTGAGGACCTCCGCTTGGGCCTCGTTGCCGTCGGCGCTGCCGCGCGAGACGAGCAGGTAGCCATCTTCCTTCTGCGAGAGGAGGAGGGTGCGGGTGACGAGGTCGTTGTTGCTCATGTTGGTGACGATCTCGCGCTTGCCGCTAACGGTGCCGGCCTTGGAGTCGTAGTCCCAGGCATAGACGGCCGAGGCGGATGAGGCGTAGAGGATCTTGCCATCTTTGGAGAGAGCAATGCCGTGGTTCAGCTGGGAAATTGTTAGTTATCTTGCTTCTTCGATATCCGAAAGGGTACGTACCGTCTTCTCATCGATGAGCGTCTTGGACTCAGAAACAGAGATACAAGTGCCTCCATTGTCTTTGAGCGTATGACGAGTGATACCCTTTCCGCTCTCGACAACCAGCAACGCACCCGAGCTGTCAAACTGAAGGCTCCGGGGCTTGGTCAACTCGCCGGCGATCAGTTGTGCTTGCCATCCGGCCGCAACAACGGGGAGGTCATAAGATGGGACAAGAACTTTGTCGCAGCTCTGAGCAAGGGCAGTGGCTGAAAGTCCAACTGCAAGAGCCGCTTTGGCAACTCGGTTGGTCTTCATTGTGTTGATATTCGAATGGAACACGCGGTGACTTGAGTATCAACCAAGCAAGTGTATGATATCGATGTGTCTTGTCTCAGGGAAGCAACGGCCCGGTACAACAGAATAGCGAGAAAGAGATGTCAGATGAACAGACAGATGGATGGGATGTCGGGTTCAATAAGGTAGTAGATGGGCCATGTGAGCACACATGTAGAAGGGGTGCATTCGATGCGGGTTATAAAAGCTCGCTCCTAAATAACATCTCGAACCACAAGGGCGGTAACATACATACACCAGGCTAGTGACGACCGCACAACCAGGATTCGGGCTGCTAAAGAGGAGGCCATTTTTCACAGCTCCGACTTACCGCACAAAACGCCACAAAGCAACGATAAGACGCCGGAGAGACCATAGTGCATCCGAAAGGGTGCTGGCCACCCACGATATCCCCACGATAGCTCTTCAGCTCTGTACGTAACAGCCAGAGGCGTTCAGTAGTCAGGACTTGTCCTATTTGGCTCGCACTGGTCATTCAGAATTGGGAGTGTAAAACCGTCGCTGCTCCTCATCAACACCCGGGACACCCCATATAATCCTGCATATGAGAATCCAATAGTGTAGCATCCAGACGCGGGTTGAAAGTTGTCCGGCACGTCCTTCAGGCTTCAGGCCGTCCTCCACACCATTTGCTGTGCCATCGCCAACCGTCAAACCCCGCATTAATCTGCGCAGAGGAGGTAGTATTGGGCCAATTACTCTGGTCCCCATGAGGTGGTTCTTGTATATCGAGTGGCGGGTATCGAAACAGAAGAAGAAATGGAAAGAGTCTGACGGCGTGATGGTGGGCTCCCCGCACGGCTTATAGACAAGCAAAGTGAACGCTGGTGTGATGGCAGCCATCATCAACAACACTCTGGTACTGTGACATAACACCGTCGTTTCGGCACCCAAATGGGTCTCCGATAGGAACCGATAGGGCTCTAGACCGAGCTGGAGGGGACCATTGCCAAGCCACTCCAAGTGTAGCGCTGTGAATCAGGTCTAACCCGGGGGATAGACGTCAAGACAGGCAACAGAGGGAACCTGGAAGCCCAAATAGCACGAGGGAAACCTTGCTTTTTATCCCAATCGGGATAAGAAGAGGCGTGCGGGTGATGGAGGGTGGGGAGCTGATGAGATAGGACGAAGGGCTGGAGGCAGAAAGTGAAGAACGAACGAGTGAGAGGAAAGAAAACACCCATCCCCCGCATACCATTGCAAAGGGACCATTTTCCGAAGCTGATGGGAACTGACCATCTGCGGCAACTCTGGTTGCAGAGAGATCATGTACATGGACCCGCGGAGACAACTTTGCCTTAGCCGCTCCCAAATATGTAGTCGAGTCCATCCAAAAGCCCAACCTCATGCCACTTTTTGTACGCACCTGTTTCCATCGTAGACCTGCTCTCAAGATCAACTTTGTCTTTGTACGGCGTACGAAACCAAGTGAATGTGAAGAGATCCAGTCACGCTCCAGGCTGCCGAATTATTTGATCGCAAGCTGGTCGACGTCGGTCAACGACGGCTGACAGCGTTTCTCAAGGTAAGCAAGCTCCCAACCACGTCCAAGCAAACCCTTGTGCAGTTGGACTGATTGTGATATCCCAGCACATCAGAAGCGACTGTGCTGTTATCTGTCTTGTCTCGAGCGATCATCTCATCGCCCATTGACGAGGCAACTGCTCAAACTCCAAAATGAGTCCTCCGCCAACCCTCCGGGGCATCATTGCGACAACACTGGCCGGCTTCGCCCTAGTCGCCAACGCCCTACCACAGCCAGCACCTCAGACCCAAGAAACCGTCGCCCCTTCGCGTAAAGTCTGGGTGCACGTAGATGGGTCAACCAAAGGCACCACCAACACGCCCACAGTGACGACCGACGCCAGCGGGGCCAAAAACACCAACAACGCGCCCCCCGCGTATCTCACCCAGTCCAAAGCATACAGCAGCTGGAAAGACGATGGGCTTCTGGCGACTTACACCAGCCTCAACCCTGCTCCGACCGCATCGGGCGTTGCCGACCCCCGCGGCGAGTTCCTGGCTTGTCTCCCGCAACAATCGCGCGACGAGCCCTTCTGCGCTCCAAAGCGGGATGCGATCTTGAAACCTAACCGTGGGTACTACAGTGAGTCTCTCTCCCTGCTTTTTCTTTGACCCATACGTATAGCCATTTCTCGCATCCACCATGCCCTGCCATGCTTAAACCCTCACGAATGACAGTAACATGGAACACCCTCTACTTTGGTTCGCCCAACCAGCGCGTGCAGATTCTTCTCCAAACCGCCAACGTCGACGAATCGGTCGCTGGCCGCATCGTCCCCGAATTGTATTCCAACACCTCAGCCCCCCTCCCTACCTTCCCCATCCTCCCCGCCGACCAAGGCTTCGCTTTCTTCCCCCTCACCAGATTCGTTCTCCCCTTCTCCGATTCACAGGCTTTCCAACTTACCCGACTCAACATCACCATGGCCATCTGGGCAAGCGGCAACTACGACGAAGACGCGCCCACCGAGATAAAGCAGGGTCCGCTGGTGTATGTCACCAATGACTATGACTCTGACTCTGACGATGCGTCGGACGACGAGGACGATTTGGTCTCCTCCCCCGGGTTATCCACAGGCAAGAAAATCGCCATCTCCGTCCCCGTCGCCATTGTGTCTCTCCTGGTGCTCGGCGGACTCATCGCTTTTGCGGTGTGGGGTTATCGGAAGAACGGGACTGTCCCCTTCGTTGGTGGACTCTTCGGGAAGAGGAGCGGAAACCCCAGAAGTGGCGGAAGCGGGTACGGAGTCAGGAAGAGTTATTCGGAGCGGGTTGGGAAGAAGGGCGTGGTGGGTGTCGAGGAGGGTGTTTTCACCAATGCCAAGGGTGCAGGTGGTGGTGTCGAGTTGACGGATCGCGAGAGTTGGCCGCCGACGAGTCCGACTAGTGCGAGATTGGGTGGGGAGCCTAATGTATTCCGTGCCGAGGTGCAGAGGCAGGAGAGGATGAGAGAGGATCAAATATGATCAATCAGGTTTGGTGAATCATAATTGTGGTCGCAAGAGTTGCATTCGCGATGCGGTAGTGGTTGCGGAGGATGGCGCAAGTGGCCGTTTGGAGGAACGAGAAAAGATGGAATGATGATAATTGTTATGGCATTTTTTTCTTTGGCCATGGCTGTATATCGAGCATTTGCGGCATGGAGGTTGATCGAATGCAATTGAGCCGTTGTCTTGCCATTGCATGTGGTGTCCTTGTGTTCGTTGGTGTTGAGATGGTGCGTTGAAAGAGGGGAGAAGGCGGGATTAGGAAAGGATAACGCTGCTTGACGGGGGTCGTTATTGTGACGAACGGCAGTCTGAT